ATTATCATATGTTAAAACAAATTTAATCTCAATGTTTTAGAAAAGACTAACATGTAATTTAAGTACATTTATTCAGAAAAAAAAAATCCATACAATGAATCATACAAAACCCCAAATCACTGTCTCCACTAACAATTCCTATCAAAATGAATCTAACTGTCCTCTGATTATTCCAATTTTACTTTTACATTTGCTCAAAGTGTTTGAGCAGATTGGAGGGATTTTGTTATTTTGCTAGACTTTTGCATTATTTTGTTCATAATTTCTTTCAGCATTTTTAAAGCAAAAGGTACTATCAGAGTTTGTGTCAATCCTACCACTGATTAACCTGCATATCTATCAAAGCCTCATCTGTGTCAGGATGGTTTAAACAACTACAGCAGACTGAATGTGCCATAACACCAGTGTTGTCATCATTTTAAAGAAAATGATCACTCCAGAAATGTTTGGATCAAACCACGAGACTCGCACACGGTGAGTGAACAGAACAGGAGCCTCCAACCCGGATCAAATGCCTTGACAACCACAAACAAAACGGAGTCATTTCCTCAAAGGCTTGAAATGTTTGAGGAAAACGTGCTTAGTCTCATACTAAACCTGCTTATCCACTCAAAAGTCAATCTGTCCAATCAATGGAGCATAAATAAAACTGAAACTAAACTACTTCACAGGGTTTCCCCCTGAACACTTCCTGAGTCCAGTGCTGGGCTGGGAAGACGATCATCCAGCATCAACTCTAAAAACATGTTTAAAGTCCACAGGACATTTGATTACAATGTCCTGTGGACATTGTAATCAAATGTTGGGTAATTACATATTAGGAAGAAATTGTTTACAAAACCTAAACACCGACAACAAAGTCCTAAAAATGACAAAGCTAAAAAAACGGGACTATTAAAATAAATATTAAGTTGTTACACTGGAGTTGTTTCAACCTAAAGTGTCTTTTTTATCTTTTATTCATGACTTGTCACTTTATTTGCTGAAGTTGTTGCCGTGCAGAACTATATTATTCCAGTTAGTTGAGTGTTAGTTGTGTGTTTATAAAACTAACTAAAACATATTGATATAATATCTTTCATTTTTGTGTTTATGAATCTATTTACCCGCCTTTCAAACTGCTGTGAAACTAATAAAAAGAAACAACAGAAACAGTTTGCAAAAACTATTAAAATTATCAACCGTTTATCCAAAGAGACTCTTCAACATGTAACACTCTTAATAATGTACATAAAAGAAATATAATAAATAAAAAAACACTTAGCCTGGTGGGGACACAAGTAAAACCTGGTGGCCCGCCAGGCTTATATTACACTGGGGAAACCCTGCTTTTAAATGCAACAGTTATAGAAAACCCCTCATACTCATTTAACTCAAATAATGTTTAATTTATAGAAAAATAATGTTGCTTTGTCAAACAGAGGCTTTGATGCAGTATAACTCAGAACCTGAAGCTACGTCATGTGACTGTTTTCCTCGTGGCTCCAGGATCTTCATGCTTCGCTTGTCGTTGTGTACCTTTTGAATTTATGCCTCATGTCTCATATCCATAAACCCTCAAACGTTACAAAAGGTAAAACAATCAGCTTAAACAAATAATACTAATAATTATTTATAAATTTACTTTTAGAATTCCCAGTGAATGGCCATAAGCATGAGCTCCCTCCTCCATCCTTCCAAAAGGTCAACGGGAAACAAAACGCAGAGAAATCACAGCTGTGCATTGGACATTTAACGAGGTAAAACCGTAAATCTGACATAACTGGACCATAAGGAGAGCTGTGTGTGTGCACACACTCGCACCGCTGGATGCCTTCACCAGGTGAGAGGAACTGGCGATGCAAGCGGGGAGTCGGGTCAGAGAAGGAGGCGAGTTCCTGTGTATAATCACATCTATCCACTGACCGCAGCGCTGCAGGTAAGAATAACATTCAGCAGCATCTCTGCCTTAAAGTCCTCACTGACGTTCAAATCGAGGTGGAGATTTTTTTATTTGGAGGTTGATGATCTGCTGAGATGATTTCAAAATAAAACAGTGTCTGTTACTCAAAACTAAAACTGATCAGATAACAAGAGATCTGTCAGCAGATCAGAAAACGTTTGTTGCATGTTGACTTGCAGGAAATTGATAAGATCTATAGATCTATTCTTACATGAACCACAGCAAACCATCATCAGTCCAAGCAGCGACTTTAACAGTCTGTCATGAAGACTCCTTTTTCTTCAGCCTTCGAGTTAAAACGAGCATGAACGTTCTGCATTTAACACTTTATCAAATCTGGAGATCTAAAAGTAGGAAATATGGGTTGTTTATCATAAATATAGGTGATTGTAGGAGTGGTTATCAAAATGAAGTTATACCAAAGTTAAATAGTTGGTTATCGTGTTGCCCCTCTTCAACATGCTGCTGTGCATTGCTCGGCTCAGTCTAAATATGGTCACTTTTGGTGACCATATTTAACAATTCCATACATTTTTAGATTAATAACAAGCTATTCTCAAACCCCACTAATCTAATGAACCATCTAACTTTAACTACTTCATCAATGGATTTCTTTAACATCTGTTCAAAAGTTAGATGGAGCTCTATTGAAAAGTCAGCTCTTCATCCACTTTTCTCTTGACTGATTTTGCATTAAAAGTCTCTTTTTATGACATGTTAACGTCAAAATTAAGTTTCAATCAAATTTACCAACAGCAAATGATTGTGTAGAATACTGCTGAATGCATTGAAGATTATATAATAAAAATATGAAGGGAGGCACTAGGAATTGACACAAAGCCACTGCATATTAATATTACAGCAACTTATCCTCTGCAGACAGATTTATGTGTGTTTATATAGAGAGACTGCAGCTTGTTACCAAAGCCTCCCACCTTCCTGGCCGCAGATGAGCTGCAGAGCCTTTTCTTTTGCCAAATGTCACGCAGCACCATGCGTCGCCACAACAGCTCTGAACCTGAATTATGTCTGTTAATTAGGGACCTGAGACAAATAGAGACAACAGCGCGTGAGAAGCAGACACAGACGCTTTGGTAAATGCATGCAGCCGCTTCCTGTATAGCCACGTCTTGAATTAAGTCAAGCTTTTTGTGCCAACACACAAACATTACACCAAAGCCTCCTGGGGGGATTTTATGTCACACTAAGACCAAATTATGATCCTGCTGCAGATTGGATGCACAAAAAACAAAAAGTTAATTTATGTGACCTGTGAAACCCGTCAAGCAGCTACCAGAATAATCTGTCTTCACACAGCTTTTGGTGAAAATGTTTTTGGGATAATGACTGTTTATACTTCAAACAGAGCTTCTGTTTGGTAATCCTCCCAGTTCAATTACTAAACACCTCAATGCAGCAAACTAGCATTTCCTTCATGTTTCAGAGGAGGTCTGAAACTCACGGCTTCATGTTTGTACCCAGCAGTTACCATCTCCTGAGGCTGCTCATTACAGACTCGGTTCATCACTAAAATCAACCATAAACTGCTGCTGGACTGGAGTGAACACAATGTATCACTAATTAATTTGGTGTCTGATTTACATGCAGAGTACAAGTACAGAACTGTTCAAAAGTCTTGAGTCAGCACTTCTAACTTATCTGTCACAACCAATAAACCAGTTACTGATCAATATTTTGGGTTTTTTCACATTTTTTCCTCGTTTTGCCATGTTTGAGGAATAATTTTGAGTTTTTTTGCTATATTATTATCCCTCATTCAGGCAAAAAGGCTCCTGATCTTAAAGAAGGAGTCCCTAAGTGTATGGTTGAAATTCTGACGCATTTTTTCAATTCATTAATCACATAGATGTTGATGCATTAAAAATTCAAATGCAATTAATTGCATTTTTTATTTTTTCTTTAATATAAAGGTTCCCGTCAGAACCTTTATAGTTTTTGGCTCGACTGTAAAAATGACGCACAAGTTGCATCCAAGCTAATTTCTTCTTCCACACAACCTGGCGAGACTGAAATAGACTGTTGTTGTATTGAAGTTGTATTAAAAGCATTTAGTTTATCAGCAAACCTATTCAAGCCTGAAATAGCATCGCAATGCTAACATGTAGCAGCAGTACAGCTAATGCTAACACTTTGGACCAATCTGATGGGTGAATAACCCGAATTACAAATATAAATATTTTTGTCATTGGGCTTTTGTCTCATCAAAAACGGTGCTTCAATTGAAAATGTTGCTTATTTTATCAATATGTGGTTTTCCATTAATTAATTACAAACCCTGAAGTTTACGTGAAAATTTTTATCTAGTCCAACAATCACTGTAGACTAAATTAGCCTTCGTCAAAAAGGCTAAATTTTTCACAACTTACAAAATTTCACCAATTTAGACTTTCTGCTGAACTGGTGATCAAGATCACCTTTGAAACTTATCAACAAAGTCTGGCTGGAATATAAAGTTTCACACAAGCTTTAAATGAGATGAAACGGATATTATTTGAATCCTGAAAAAGTCTGCTTCAGGCATAACATTATGACCAGCAGGTCCTCCTGTGCTGTTTTATTTGTTTTGACCTGTTTCTATCAGAACCAGCTTTGACTTCGTTGCGGCTCGTCTGCCGGAGCGGCTCGTCTGCCTGCGCGGCTCGTCTGCCGGAGCGGCCACGCGGCTCGTCTGCCGGAGCCGCCGGAGCGGCGGCTCGTCTGCCGGAGCGGCCGCGCGGCTCGTCTGCCTGCGCGGCTCGTCTGCCGGAGCGGCTCGTCTGCCCGCGCGGCTCGTCTGCCGGAGCGGCCACGCGGCTCGTCTGCCGGAGCGGCCGCGCGGCTAGTCTGCCCGCGCGGCTCGTCTGCCCGCGCGGCTCGTCTCGTCTGCCCGCGCGCTCGAATTGGAATTGAATCATTTGTTTATTTGGATTTTTATGTATTTCTGATTTCGTAAGAAAAAGTTTAAAGATTGAATGAAAGTAAATACTGAGTTAGTTTCTTGTTCTCCATCTTAATGTGGGGAAACTCTTCAAAACAACAACAGAAGATTCCCACAAACCTTTCTTAAACTCCTCCAACATGGCGTCCAGCTTGGTGTCATGGAAGACGAAGTGGACCGAGTGGTTGTAGAACTTGGTGATGGTCTTCAGCGTGGTGCAGTCGTCCGGGTCCACGAAGGCCAGGTCTTTGACGAAGAGGATGTCCACGATGTTGGACTGCTCGTGCTCGTAGACGGGTATCCGTGTGTATCCGCTCTCCATGATCTCCGACATGGTGTTGAAGTCCAGCACCGCGTCGCTGCTGATCATGAAGCAGTTGCCCAGAGGCGTCATGATGTCCTCCACCGTTTTGGTCCGGAGCTCCAGGGCGCCTTGGATCATGTTGAGCTCCTCTTTCACCAGGTCGTTGTAGGGTTCGGTCACTTTCAGCATTTCCACCAGCTTCTCCCGGTTGTATACAGTTCCGATCTCCTGGCCCAAAACGCAGTCCAGGATCTTGCTAATGGGCCAGGACAAGGGGAAGGTGAGCAGCATGAAGAGCTTGGTGAGCAGGATGGTGTTGGCACCCACTGCCAGGCCGTGTCTGGAGCACAGCGCCTGGGGCACAATCTCTCCAAAGATCACGATGCCGACGGTGGAGGCGACCACAGCTCCCAGTCCGGACTTGGTGAGGTCGTCCAGCAGGATAGTGAGGGTGGTGTTCACCAGGACGTTCCCGAGCAGCAGCGAGCACAGCAGGTAGTTGCCCTTCCTGCGGATGGGCTCGATCTTCCTGGCCCACTTCTTCTCCTTGTCCGTGCCGCAGCTCTGCACGATGCGCAGCTCCATGGGGTCCAGCGCCATCAGCCCCAGGTTGAGCCCGCTGAACATCCCAGACAGCACCAACAGGCAGCAGATGAGGATCACCTCCAGCCACACGGGCAGCAGGGACGTGCTCTCCTCCTCCACCACCAGGACTTTTAACTCATCCTCTTCCTGCAGTAACCATCTGCTCTCCTGGGGGTGGAGGATGCACAATCCGAACACTTTCTTGTCTTCGTTTTTCCGAAGCTTGTTCACGGTGATGTTGACAACCCCGGCGTTGTTACGGAGGTTTACCTGCATGCGCCCCTTCACCAACATACCGTTTGAGTGTTCGGGACAAGTCCTGTTCAGAGACTCGTCCTCGTCTTCATCCAGTTCGGCGAACCTGATGAGCTCCGAGCTGTTGGGTAACAAGTGAGTCCCGTAGAACCTGAAGACGCTCAGGCTGCCCTCGGTCACCTGAATCATCCCCTCGTTGGTGATCCCGGCCGGCTTGTCGCTCCTCTCCAGCCGCATCCCAAGTATCTGAGTGCCGCCCTTGGACTCCTGAGCCGCCGCCTCGGCCTCCCGTCCCGCCAACACGCACAAAAACACGAATAAAGTGAGAGGAAAGCCCAGTCCACTCGAGTCTGTCGCCATGTTTGTTTCACTCTATGCCAACGTCCGACCTGACGTCAACTACTCCTTCTCTGGGGCCAGCCCACTAGTTAGCATAATAATACACAGCCAATCAGCGGACGATACGTCACGCAGGGGCTCGATATGGTAAGCTATTTTAGCATAAAATCAGCTTACTCACACTCCAGTTATAAGAAATAGGTTCATGACTCGACATATTAGTTAATTCATTTATTTCTAATTTCAATCTGACGTTGTTTATTATAAATGACGTCCGACAATAAGTTTAATAGAGGCTTCATTTCAAGATGTCTACAATGAAATAGTGATCTTTTTACAACATGTACTGTGGCTTGCAAAAGTATTAGGATCCCTTGAACTTTTCCATATTTTGTCGCATTACAGAAACAAATTTAAATATTTACTGCTCAAAAAAAATAAAGGGAACACTCAACACAATATAACTCCAAGTAAATCAAACTTCTGTGAAATCAAACTGTCCACTTAGAAAGCAACACTGATTGACAATCAATATCACCTGCTGTTGTGCAAATGGAATAGACAACAGGTGGAAATTATTTTCATATTTATTTCATTCATTCAGATCTAGGATGTGTTATTTGAGTGTTCCCTTTATGTTTTTGAGCAGTGTATTTAATTGGAATTTAAGATGAAAGACCAACACAAAGTTGTGTACAAATATAACTTTTTCATTTATAAAATATGTTTTGAAAAGTACAATTCTTTTTCTACTTCACAATTGTACTCCACTTTGTGTTGGTCTTTCACATTAAATTCCAATCAAATGTATTTATATTTGTGATTATAATGTGACAATATATGGAACAAAATTCAAGTGGTATGATTACTTTTCCAAGCCACCGTATTTCAGGTAACAACAATTAAATTATGAGTGGTGAAAAAATAAATTTGAGACATTTCACTTTTTGTTCTGAATTGTCAAAATTCCAATTAAAGATGTCATAAAAGGACATCTCAAATGTAAATGTAGACAAATTGTGTCAACACTCATAACTACAGATATTCAGGCAAAACCGATTTTATGTTAAAACGGCTTGCCGTAAACTCAGTTTGGACTTTTTCAAACTGATTGTTTTTGATTTAACGTAGTTTCGCCTGAGCCGTTTGATTAATTCACTTCTTCATCAGTTTATGCGAACATTTGGCTACTTTCTACTTCAATTTTGCACTAAGCCACTTAAACCACAGCATTTCACATTTTTCCAGTTTAATTCAGCTGGAAAATACTTCATTAATCCCAAAGAGAAATTAAATGCTGTTCTAGCATTTAATCTTCAAAGGTTCTTCAAACAGCTCCTGCTGTTGCAGATGCTGATGTCTGTGGGCAGGAAGGATTTCCTGTAGCAGTCTGTATTACAGCGAATCTGAAGAAGCCTCTGACTGGAAATACTGAAATCTCAGGCACTTCTGGTCTTATCTTCCTATTTACTCCATTCCGTTTAATCTATCTTGTTTTAAGTCGCTTTTTATGGTTGAATATGTTGATTTTATCAAGCACTTTGGTCACCAATATTTTGAATCAAAAATATAATCTAAATGATTATATTTTTGATTTTCATTTTGTTTGAGGTCACAACTGACTCCAAAAAAAATCCAATTCAATCAAACAAATATCAAACAAACATCATTTTAATGACCTGTTGTTGGTAACTATTATTTATTGCAGTCACAAAAACAGATTTATTTAGACTAGGAATAGAAAAGAGAAATATCTATGAATCATTAGGAGAAAATGACTCAAATTGGTACAAAAAGTGCCACCACAACATTTTATATATGAAAATAGTTGAAATGCAGTGAAGATGATCGTTTCAGAATTTCATCATTTTGTATTTCAGGATCTTTGATTATTACACATTTTATGGGTACAAAATTCAGCTTTGATGGCTGCTGGTCATTTTGCCTCTTCGCCATTTGTTTCTTCAGTTGTTTTGGTCATTTGGTCAAGGCACAAAATGGAGCCTTCACTGAAACATTCATAACACTCTGCACTGCTGTGCAAATGTTTTAAACTTCCCTGTATAATTTGAAGAAGCTGCCAGCAGATTTGTTTTGGTTTCACTTGGATTCAAGTAAGTCCAATCAAAATGAAACAAAATAATTAAGTTTTCTTGTGTTTCAGAACAATAATATCACAGTTCTGTTAAATATCTAATAATTTTGAAGCTATTCTTAAACCATGTTGTTTTTGTTTTAATTCATGAACTAATTTAAGCATTTAGCAGCATGTGTTTGGATAACATATTTAAAAATAGTAAGGGAGCTTAGTCAGAAAGTTTTCAAGACGATGCTATCTTTAGTTTTTGATTCTGATTAATGACTCATTAATAACAACATTATATGACAATAAAGCTATCAGCAGGTCTAACAGTATAATAATTGTCTTTGGTGCAGTTATAGCACCACCTTGTGGTCAAACTCTGGACTTGGTTTTTAATCTGTTAATCTCGAGGTCCGGTGTTCCCTTTTGCTTTGTGTTTGGATATTTAAGTGGAAAATTGCATGTAAAAACATTTGTTTGTTGTGGAAAGACATGGAAAAGTCCAGTTCTCACCTATAAAACGCACTTAAAACAAAGATATTTCACTTTCTGACTGAATAAACATCTGAAGAGTCCCAGCTGCAGGAGGAATGTGTTTGGCTCACAGCGAGTCGCATCTGAAAGCCTGGTAGATAAACGTTCACTGTGTTCTGCTTGTGTTGCCCAATGAGCAGAAATCCTGGAGAAACCAAAGATCAGGACGCCAATTTATTCCTGCTGAAATATTCACAAGTAAAGCAGCAGAAAATACACTTTACTAAAGTACTTATGCTTTTTGAACACATTAAAACCATATATTTACATACACCTAATAAAAGCACAAGTGCAATTTTTCTCACAGTGAAGTAAAAGCAGATCAAATTTTTCTCGTTTTGGGTCATTTAGAATCACAAAAGTCATTTGGAGACTAACTTCACATTATTTTGTCATTTCTGCAAATCAAGTTGTAAATGCTTTTGTACATCATCTCAGAGATGATGTACAATTCTCCCCTGTTTCCTGTATTTTCAACTGATTTTATGAAGTAGATAAACATGCATCACACAAGTTTAATTGTGTGATGCATAATATTTAAGTATAATTTCCTTGCTGGGACATCTGAGCTCATGTCTTGAATACAGTGGCTTTGGGCAACTGGACCAAGTCAAAATGATTGTAATTCCAGTAAATCTGGAAATTCAAAGATGTTTAAGCTGATTTATTTATTTTGTCTTGAATGCAGCGTTACAGTGTTACTATTCTATTTCTCAGCTGTCCCAGTTTTTCACCATCATCGCATTTGTCTCTAAAGTAAAGCAGCTGGTGATTTGAAATGTTTTATCACGGATATTTTATTACTTGTTCAATTTGAAACATGTTGATTTGAGAAACTGCTTATACATTTTTATGCACTTTATTATATGTAAACATTTGTGAATTATGTTGTATAGTTAAAAATCTTGTGCGCTTTGAGAATCTTTTTGAGACTAATTGAGCTCCATACCTTGGCGCTTTAGACTTTAGATTTCCGTGCAGTTCTTGTTCTGTCCAGCAGGGGGAGCAATACCAGTCTTTTTGCTGCGCATCCTAAGAACCCTGATAAGTCTGCTTATTTTATAAATAGAAGAAAATGTTAAAAGTGACTCTATAAAACAAGAGAACAACATTTTCATCAAGACGGTATTAACATGACATGGATTTTAAAAAAGAAAATGGGTTTTGCAGGTCTTTTGTTTTTTGTATAAATAGTTTTAGAAATGCTCTTACTGTTTTAAAAATAATTCGAGAAACACACCAAAGTGACAAACTTCTGAGTTTGACTTTTAAACTCAGAAATGTCCAAGTTTTCTGGAAAATGCCTGAGATGAATCTCAAAATTTCTGAATTGACTCCTTTTCTTCTGTCTACTAATAAGCTGGCCAGTGATCCTGGTGGTTCCGGAGCAGTTCAGACCCAGTCAGGTTGTCATGTTTCAGGTTGGCCAACTAGAGGTCCGCACAGCTCCAAACATCTTCAGCAAATCTCTGCGTCACGTGACGTCGTCGTTTGGTTTCCTCCTGCCGCTTTGCGTGAATCTAAAGCCAAACATCGCAGGGAGTGGAGGCTCCGGGCGGGAGGAGGAGCCGAGGGAGGGCAGAGGAACCGGGGGAGGGCAGAGGAACCGGGGGAGGGCAGAGCCGCCGGGGCGAGGGGACATTTCAGACCCCCGCTTTTCTCCTCCGGGTTTTTTGTTTCTTTCATTTCTGTTTGCTCACAGAAACCCGCAGCTTTACGGTAAGAACCAGCCGCTCACCTTTTGTTCCCGCTGTGCTGATCCGGTCAGAGGTTGGGGTTCGGTTCGGTTCGGATGATTTTTAGAGTAATAAGATGCAGAAAGAAAGCAGCTGTTTTGTGAAGTACACCGGGATGGGAAGGGAAAGTTTGGGGTTTTGGGTCCAGAAACTTTGCTTCGTTTTGTTTTCTTTAAGTTTTAGCAGACGGTCCAACATCTGCTGGATTCTCACTGAGCGGAACCAGGTTCCTCCTGGGACTCTGGAGTTCAGATGCTGTCGTGAAGATTTGGGAATATTGATAAATGATGTGGAAAAGCTGTTTTTTCTAACTCGACGTGATGGTTTTCAAACTGTCTATGATGTCATATCTACGTCATCAAGAGGCTTTCAGAAGTTCATTCCCATCCGGTACCGCTGGAGCAGATATCAGCTTCTGGGATCAGGAGGCGATCAGAACTGATTCTAATATCTAAAATGATCAATACATCTACAGTTTTTAATCCAAAATCAATCAAGCCTATCGGCTGCATTGTTTTTCTTATTTTAAAAAAGGAATTTGTTGTTTTTTTGTTTGCATATTTTCATATATAATATTGTATAAAAAAAGACTTTTTAGATTAATGGATGAATCATATTTGTTGCAGCCGTATTAAGTTTATAAACTTTTAGCCAGGAAACTGCAATCAGTGCATTTCTGTTTTTTACTGTAATTATTAGCTGGTATGAGATTCTTCTAACTTATAATATAATTTTTGGAAATAATCTGAGGCTCCTTTTATTTGTTGTTTTACTGGTTATTTCCTGTGATTCAGAGAAAACATCCCAAATAGACAGTCAGACTTTGTGGTTGGTGATGAAATGGTTGCTTCACAGCAACAAACTCCTCCAGTTTCCGGACGCAGACTCAACCTGCTCCCATTGAGACTCACTTCATTGTTGTTTGTCGTTTTTTAGCGTTGTGGCAGGCGAGAAGTTTCCAACTTCTGTTATCACTAACCAAATTGTAGGTGGATCCAAATGTGAAGAAATAACGCTCTAAAGTAAAACAAAGCAGCTAAACATGATAAAAATAGACATTATAAGGTAAAGCTTAGCCGAATCCTTTGTATTGGGTAAAATGAGTGAACAGGAAATGTTGTCAGTTCATGAGGAATGAATGAGACAAACATTCACACCAGCCATGTTTAATCTGCTTTATTCCAACTCTCGTTTGCTTGTGCATTAAACCAGAACTGGTTCTTCTAAAAGCATAGGTCTCGGTTCTGCTGAAGTGAACTCTCATATGGTTTGAAAGCGAAGCAGACTGCATCTCAGGGCATTCTGGGTAAATACAACCAAAATAAACGCGAGCGTCTGGCGTTGCGGGAGAAATGTCTCGCAGCCTTTTACCGAAGTCAAACAACCACCAGAATCTGACGCCACTCAGGTTTACATTTTGTGAAAAAGGAAGTTGTCCTCAATCTCTTCTTCAGAGGTTTTCATGTCATTTCCTTTAGTGGTTATTGGTGCAGCGCCCCCTCAGGTGAGGAGGGGAACAGCCTTTTCAAAAGGTTTGGTTGGTTTGACGTAGTGCAATGAAAAATGCAAAAAAATCTAAAAATGTCATATATTTTGTGATTTTGATCCCCAGGCAAACCAAATCTAATGGCGTAGGCGTGAGAACGCCCTTTTACACTCTATATGAGCGCCCCCATGTGGTCATATTAATAGTAACTGAATAATAAGAAAGTAAGTTCATCTTTCCTGCCACATCAGCCTCTTAACAGGATTATCTCCTCAGCTTAACTGTTTGAAGATCTAAATGTCCATATTTTCACCAAAATCTACTTTTAAGGATGTGATTGTTTGACGTGAACAGGGAAAGTGGTATCATTAGTTATAGGAGGTCAATCAAACTGTTAGCGTTTTATGGGGTAAGATGAGAGGAGGAGTGGCTTTTGTGACCTGAGAGGTCAGGTGAATAATTCAGAGGTTGATTGTTTTGGGTCTTTTTGTTCAGCGCTTGCTCTCAAAGCCTTCGTTCTGTCATAACAGCACCTCGTTTTCCAACGCCTGCTCTGCTAATTTCTGTCAGGCTCCTGTTCAGGTCACTGCTTTACTCTCTAGTTTTACTAACAAATTAAAACCTAAATCTGTGTGAGCATTTCTGGCCATCAGAGTCACAAACCAGCCCAGTTTTATGGAGCATTTTCTAAAAATAAGAAGTTGCTGGTTTGGAGTCAGTTTCCAGGACATTTTAATTCTGTGTTTACTTATTTACTCCAAGTCTGAGGAAGACTGACATTAATCAGTAACACACAGAGACCTTTAAAAACCTTCACAAACAGCCAGATGTGATTCACAGTTTGTTCAGCCTCAGGACCCGGTGAGTTTGAATCAGATTGGGCTCAAATCTACACATAATGATTGACAGGTTCAAGAAACACAGAAATCTGAGAACCTCATAAACAATCATCAGGCCTCAATTCAGATCTGTTTCCTTCTCTAGATCCTTCACATTTTTATCTTTAAGTATCAAAATATTACAAGAACAGCATTTATTCAAAGTCTTGGTGGAAAAGAAATACAGTTTGATGCACCAGGACATGAGGAAAACTTTCCTTTCTAGGCTCCTACTCTACTTAAATTGAACTTCAGGTGCACAAAACAAAACTTATTCCCACTTTCATTATTTATTAAGTGAAAGCAAAGACAAAATATGAAAAAACGATTCGCCTTGTTAACATGGAGATAACAAGGATCAATTCAGATTATCAGCATTATCAACAACAACAAAATTATCAGAAACTAAATGCATAAACTATAAAAAAGGATAAAATAATAAAATAGAACAAAATAAGAACCAGATCAAAAAATGGGAATCCGCATAAATAAACTTTTGCAATTTGTGCAAGATGTGTGTCAGAAATAATATGTGCAATCAAAAATAAGTAGTTAAAATAGTAATAAGACCATGGATGATTTTATTTATTTGGTCATTTTTAACATTTCATAGACAAGTCAAAAAATAAATAAAACTTCACACACAAAGCTGGTAAAAACATTATGAAAGGGTTAATAGAGGAGCCACGTTGTGATGACTTCCTGAAGTTTAGAAAGAGCAGGAGCTTCTTAAAGAGACAGAGGCCCAATTTCAACATGTTCAATTACAAAGTCAAATTTCTGTTAAGTCACATGTAGGATTTCTATAGTTAGTGAAGTAATAAAATGCTTCAGGTTTAGAACTCAAGCCAGGTGCAGATGATAGACGGAGGGATAATCGAGGGAAAAGATTGGTCAAAATGAATTACCCATATCTGGATCATTAAGTTTAAACCTTAAAACAAAACTTATACCTGGATTTTCATCAACTGAATAATTAAATTTAAGCAAACAAAGATCCTACATGGATCTTTATCAACTATCCACTAGTTTTACTTGTTTGAGTTCTTACTGAACAAGAGCCGCAAAAGAAAACAGGCAAAACGTTGGTGGTCTTAGCTGGCAGTTAACAGAAGGTTATGGACTCTGTAGCATGATCTGCAAATGTTAAATAAATCCCAATTAATAGTTTTCCATTGTAGAACAAACCACTTCACAAAGACAGAACATAATTAATAGAGTAGAAGGAACAATGAGTCTGCCGAGCCTCATTAGTGACGGATTCATGAGATTCTTCATCATAACTGAACTTGTTTCTGTCAGAAACAAAATTCCCAGCATCCTTCCTATAATCACAGTCAGGATTTAATGTGTCCTGACTTTTCCTTCGATGCAGAAGCAAAATGTGTCTGTCTTCTGTGACTGTGTGGGTGTGGTGCAAGAAAACATGCATTAAAAACTGAATTTTCTCTGATTTACCATCAATGGGGCTTCTTTTTCCAACGAAACATCAGAGTTTCTGGTTGAGGTGTGAAATTTTCTGTGGTTGAACCGCAGCTGAAGGTGAAATCCAGAATGCTCTGCAGTTTAAACTTTGCACTCATCTCTGCACTCTTTCTGCTACTGCAAGTTTACCGCAAAACAGAAAGTTGCACAGATATGAAGTAAGCTAAAGCTTTGTCTTCTGTCTTTTATATAGGAAAAAACTTCCCAGAAATCATCATGTTTCACCTCAACAAATAGAATGACAAAAAAACCCAATGTCTTACTTATGGCACACATTCAGTGCTATTTATTATGTTACGTATTTATATGATGGATCAACAAGGTATTTAGCAGAAGCTGATGCTAAAGAGCTATGCTAGCATGCTATTTAGTTTTGCTAATGCTAAAGTGCTACACCACCATGGTGTTTAGTGGAAGCTAATGCTAAAGCTTTACTTTTAATTTAGATAATGTCTGTCCCAGTAAGACTGTAACCCTTGAGCACCAATTTAATTTTGACATTGTAAGTTACATATTTTATTATGCCCTTAAATCTTGTTTCATGTTTATATCTTGTTCTATTCAAACTGTATTTTCTTTTGTTCTTGCCTTGATTAAATAGAAGTGCTGCGCAAACAGTCTTCATCCACTTCAAAATAAGAGCGTGAATATAAAAAAAAATTCAGCTGGAAGTTCACAAAACAGCTAAGTAAATTAGCGCTTTAGATTTTATCTGATCGAATTAATTTAGGGGAAGCTAAGCATGCTAAGCATCTCCATAGTTAGCTCAAACTTAGCCACACTGTTAGCACATCTAACAGGAAACAACAGACGGTTTCTGTTGGATTGCCAATGATTAGAGTGAAAAACAATAAAACACTAATAATTAAACACTAAAACATGTAAAAGTACATTAAACGAGTCCAGGAATGTGTTTAATCTTTGCAGTAGTTGAGATTTCAGTCGACTGGTTGGAAAAGTGTGAAACTGTCAGGCTAACAGGAGGAACTTATCCTGAGATAAAAGCCGTGTTGCAGAGAACGTCTCTGTTTTTCTGTGTACCTGATGTTCCCTCTCAACAGCTGATAAAAAAAGCAGAAGATCATAAACAGTTGAAACAAAGCAGGAACTTTAACAGCACATTCGCTCAAACAG